ATATGGTGGCGTCCCTTCTTTTAAAAAAAAATTGCCCGCCCCGGAGGGGTCGGGAGGATTTTTCTTAAAAAAAAAAAAAAAAAAGAAAAATCAAATAAAAATAAACATGTTTGTGAAGCATGGACAGCCAGCAAAGTGTCATCCCACTTTAGGGATCATAGCTGTCATCCCTAGACACTCTGAGGCTGGATTTTTAGATCCTGTCTCTGATACACGCATGATGAGCCAGTGCCAGACTCTTCCCCAAGGTACCTACACACTGAAGTCTCCGAAGCCTGAAGAGATAACACTGGGTTGGTGGCCGACACCAGGTCCTACAATTGGCTAGGTTCTTAGATACAATGAGATTCCATTTCCTCAGTGGGAATCCCGCCAGTGATGCCTGTCCAGACAAACCAGACCTACCCTGTGGAGAAAGCCTAGACAAGTCTTAAGGAGAGAGCTCAGCTGGGCAACCAGCCAGCTAAGTCCCACAAGACATGCCCACACTGCACTTGTTCCACCAGCAGGGGGGACCTCAAACCTGTTTGAAGTAAATCTTGTGGATGTAGGGCGTGGAAGTGTTGAGCGTTAGGCCCATTCATATGCTGGGGTCTGGGAGGTCTAGCCACTCTCAACAAAACCTTTTGGGCTCCTGTACAGTTACGTGGAGGGAGCAGGGACTGGAGAGTGGAAGGAGCAATGCCAAGCTCATTCAGACCACAGTGAGTGTGGGACCAGAAGGTGCTTTAGATGAAAGCTGCACAGGCCAAAGCCGGGGGCGGGGGTGAAGGCAGCACATCTAGATCTAGATCTAGAAGGATTTCTTGAGCTGATAGTCTGTGATATGGGTGTAGCACCAGGATGGGAAAGTGACCCCCATACCTGTCAATTATTACCCCTCCATAAAGAGGGGCTTGCCTAGGCTTGTGGTTGGCCTTAGTGGAGTTGATGGTACCTCCCTTGTTGGCCTGACAGTTCCGTCTCTGATCTGCTCACTTGCTGGGCAGTGGGCTCTGCACCCTCGATCAAGCTGAGCCCTTCACTCCTCCTCACCTCTCTTCCCTTTTGCCCAGTTGCCTCCTGCAGACCTTCCCAGAAGGCTCTTTCTGCCAAAGCAAATATGGGTTCAAAACAGGCCAGCCTGAGTGAGCCAGAAAATTTGTCTGTGACCCCCTACCCATGACCCAGGTCCTGTCCTACCTGAGAACCCATGAGCCAGAACCAGTAGCAAATCAGCCCCCAGAAATGAGAGCATTTCTTTTAACCTGTGCAGAGCTCGACTGTTCTCTAGTCAGTAATGTTAGAACCCCCTCAGCTGTCCTTTGGCCCATGTTCCTAAGAACCCTCCAGATGCCCCTCAACCACCCACCCTTTGGGAACTCAGGCTTATTACGGGTAATTCAGGAACATGGGTGTGCCACACGTGATGGTGGTTGCTCTGACCAGATGTTTCAAGGAAAGCCATTTTAAGAGAAGTCCTGAGTCTAGCACGTTGGAGACACCTACTGTCTGGTATGGGGTACTGCAGTGGGTGCCGGTCAGGTCAGACCTACAGGGACAGCTCCTAGTGTGCATTGACTGGAATCTGGACACAGCATGGCTGGTGCAATCAGAGCTGTGCTAATTTACACATGATGCCCAACGTTGTGGGGGTACATCATCTTGCCAGTCTCTTGTCTAGGCATATCTATGTATGCATGGTTTGGGCCTGGACCCCCTAGGAATGCTTCCAGAAGTCATAAGCCAGGAGAGCAAAAGAGTAGGAAGGTCTGAGCCTATTTATCTAGCAAAGAAGATTCAGAAGATCAGAACAGCTCTATGTATGTAGAGGGCTTTCCAATGCAAGAGTGGATTAGACTTCGGAGGTGAAACGGCACAGCAGGAATGAAATTCAGAAAGCTTTTGTGCTCAGATGGAAGGCAATTTGGAATGATGGGTATAGCTGCTCAAAGTGTTGTTCCAGGAAGGGTTCTTGGCTCGGTGGGGACCAGTCCCACCACCAGTTGTCCCCATCCATGGCAGTGTCACCGGGATGTTGTTCCATGACTGGTACATGTACCACAAGCTTTAGGGTCCACATTAGAAGGGCCTGCCAGACTATTTATGCTCTGTGGAGGTTCAGGTGGTCATCTCCTGGGACTGAGTGCCCCTCTAGACCAGATGCTCAGTTCATTGGTTGATTGGTTTATAGCAGGTCTTGATACATAGCCCAGGCTAGCCTCAAAATCACTGTGTAGCTCAGGCTGACCTCTAACAGCAATCTACTTGCCTCAGCCTCCCTAATTGTAAGGTTACAAGCTTTCTTCACCACAGCCAGCTAATCAGAGGCTCTTCTGTCACTAGTCTCTTTGACAGCATGAAAGATTTCAAAAGAAGCCAAGTAAGTTGAAATAAAGTTATCAAGCATTAGCATAATTTGAGGACACGTGTGTTACATGACCATAATTCCAGCACTCAGGAACCTGAGGCAGGAAGAGTTCATGTTCAAGGCCAGGCTGTATTACATATTGAGGCCTTGTCACATACAAAAAAATTTATTTTGAGGAGTAATGAGTTTAAGATACTTCATATATACAACCCTAGTATAGTAATGAGACTATCTGATTTCTACAGGTTACAGAGGTACAGGTGCCTTGATTCTACATTCATAGGTTGATGAAATGCTAGCTTAAAACCCCTCACTGTGGAGATAGGCCTCTCTGAGAGAGAGCTTCATTCAGAACTGAGTTCAGGTCCCAGCCAGGCGGAGAACCTACCATGCTGCCAGTCTGACCTCGCCTCTCTCTGTTGCAGGTGGGCCGACAACTTCAGGGCTGAGGGCTGTGGAGGGAGCAAGGAACACAGCTTCCACCACCCCTTCCTCCAGGTACCAGCCTTACCCTCCTTTCCATCTCCCAGACCTCATCCAGGTACTCCTAAGGCTGGTCTCTTTCCTGACCTAGGGATGGAGCTCCTCTGATTCCAGAAGACCCATCTCCCTCTCCAAGAATAGGACCAGAGTCCAAGGGTGCCCCTGGAAGTGGCAGAAGGCATGCCCTTACCACGTTCCTTCGGGACACATGGGATGTACTGTCCATCTCCTGTGAGCCCAGAACCCCACTGGGACAGGGAACAATGGAAGATACCCCATTGCTGGACTAAGACTTGGAAGACTGAGATTTAGCCCCAGTGTGTTAGTGGCTTGCTTTGGAGCCTTCCATGAGTCTTTGAACTTTCCTACACCTCAGCTTTCTCTATCTGGATCATAAGAGTTGGTCTAGGTGTGTGGACTTCACACCATAGGGCTTCCACTGAGGTATTCTAAGTCTCTCTGACAGATAGGGGCCTGGCTAGCTGCCCATAGCAGCTTTGCTTTGGTCTGTTTGACATGTTGGGGTTCTAAGGAAGCTCTCATCTAAAGAGTGGTTGTTTTTAAAAACTGAGAAAAAGCAGTACTGCTAAAGGTAGTCCCAAAGTCCCTTCAGCGCTGAGTTCTCTAGTTTCATCCCTACAGGCAGTGGGCATGTTCCTGGGAGAGTTTTCCTGCCTTGTGGCCTTCTACCTGCTGCGGTGCAGAACGGCAGGGCAGTCAGATTCCAGTGTGGACCCCCAGCAGCCCTTCAATGCCCTTCTTTTCCTGCCACCAGCCCTGTGTGACATGACTGGGACCAGCCTCATGTATGTGGGTGAGTAGCCAGGCCAGACTGAGAGGGGCTCAGAGGTCATGCTTAAAGGGCCTACCAGTGAAGCAGCACCCACAGACCCACTTTCCCACAGACCTCACATGTACATAACTAAGACTTAATAAGCAAACTCATCTTGTCTCTAACCCTGGGAACACTTCAGTGGCAGATACTTTTGTCCTCAAGAACTAACAATCATGCCTTTCCTTTCCTAGCCCTGAACATGACCAGTGCCTCCAGCTTCCAGATGTTGCGGGGTGCAGTGATCATATTCACAGGCCTATTCTCTGTGGCCTTCCTGGGTCGGAGGCTGGTGCCAAGCCAGTGGCTGGGCATCCTGGCCACCATTGTAGGACTGGTGGTCGTGGGCCTGGCTGACCTCCTGAGCAAGCATGACAGTCAGCACAATCTTAGCGACGTGATCACAGGTGAGACCAGGTGGGGACCTGAGACTACCTCTCCTGTCCCCTCTTCCCTGGAAGCCCAGCACTGAGTCATCCCACAGCTCTGCCATCTACATGTCCTAGGTTGGAGCACATACCTGCTCTCAAGGGGTGGAAGTGGAGGGAAGACCAGAGTAACGTGACTGAACTAAAGAAGAGAGATGAGGCATGAGGGGACAGGCTGCTGAGGAGTAGGATATGAGAGGAACGGGCTGACTAGGCCTGTGGTTCAAACACAGGTACAAACTGCTCATTTAGGAGAGGAACAGAAGGACCACTTCCCACATGCCCAGCCCCTTGCATTCCTCATCACGGTAACCCAGTCCCCAGAGGGAACCACTGTAGCACATTTTACAATGAAGTGACTACCTGAATCATTCAGAATTAGAATTAAACCTGAATTGTCTGTCTCAAGCCTCTGGCTCCCTACAGGATCTACTCACCTCACAGTGTAGTTCTTAGACCCAGGCAGGCCTCTGCACCTTCTGGAGCCCCAGGTCTGCCTGCTGACCTGCCCTCAGGCCAGAAAATCATTCCCCATATAAGACCTGTCAGGAGCTGGCAGGTTGTTCTGTTCCTGGGCCCTCCTGTCATCACTGGACCCCAGCCCAGTGCTCCCTGCTTCATCTGGGCCTCTTTTCCTCAGGGGACCTGCTGATCATCATGGCCCAGATCATTGTTGCCATCCAGATGGTGCTAGAGGAGAAGTTTATCTACAAACACAATGTCCACCCACTCAGAGCAGTGGGTACCGAGGGTAAGTATGGGCACAGGCCTGGGGGCAGTAGCTCGTGGAAAGGGCCCTCTAGGGGCAACATGTGCTGTGAAGCAAGCAGAGTACAGAACAGGTAGAGTGAGCCTCCTGTCCCCATACCTTCCTTCTTCCCTAGAGGGACACCACTGGGCCAGCAGAGAGGACACCAAGAAGGGAAATGAACCAGGTGATGCCCCTCTAGAGGAGGTGACCAGCAAATAGAAGGAGCCAGGCAGTGCACTTGAACGTGGACCACTCATACTCAAGTGACGCCTCATTTACCAAGCAATGCAATGAGTCTCTGGGGCAGGGAAGGTCACGTTAAGGGCCCCAACTTCCAACAGGCAAGAGTAGGGAGGAGGGACTTCTGGCAAGGCAGGGCTTGAGTTGCTGGTTTGAATTTGGAAACCAGTGAGTAGTCATTTGAGTGCAAATAGAGGTTCAACACTGGGGGAAAAATAATCAAGAACTAAGGAAGTCAGGATCACATCATGGAGACTCTAGAAATCAGACCGGTGCCTAATGACAGGCAAGAGGAACCAAGGATTTTTGAGCAGGCACACAACCGTCAAAATTACACTTGAAAAATGCAAGATTAAGGCAGGAGAGATGACTCAGCAGTTAGGAGCAGATACTGCTCTTCCAGAGGACCTGAGTTGAATTCCCAGCTCCCACATAGAGTACCTCACAACAGCCTATAACTCCCATAGACACACATATGCAAATATTTTTTTTAAATAGCAAAATTTTTAAAAATACAAGATTAGCAAAATGGATTGGAGCTGTGCTGTCAAGAGTGGCCCAAGACAAGAGCCTATAGGAGCTGTTTGCGTCTGGCCCAGTGAGCAGAGGTGCTGACTACAGACCATATCAGCTGCATCACAAAGCATACCGTTTGTTTCCAATCAGTTTTATTTTCCACTGAGACTTTGTGAATGAAGCAGTGTGTTGGCTTATATTTTAGTGCAGGTTCCCTGACAGACCAATCACGTATTGAATTATTGAGTTTTTTTCCTCAGACTGGGTGTGGCAGTGTGTACTTATAATCCCAGTACTTGCTTGATAGGTGGATGTAGGAGGAGCAGGAGTTCAAGGCCATTCTCTACTACATAGTGACTTGAAGGCCAGCCTATGCTATGAGACTTTGTTGTGAGTCAGGAGGTGGGATACAGTGAGAAAGTGTTATTTTCCTAAACTTGTGAATGCAAGTTGAAGCCAGCAGTTCTGTTTTATTGTGTTAGGGGGGCAATTGTTTGGTGAGACAGGGTCTCCCTATAACCCCAGTGGGCCTGGAACTCAATATGTAGATGAAGCTGGTCTCCATCTAACAGAGATCTGCCTGCCTCTGCCTCTGCCCTCTGCCTCTCACATGCTGGGATTAAAGGTGTACACCACTATGCCCAGCTCTTCTCTTCTCTCTTCTCTTCTCTTCTCTTCTCTTCTCTTCTCTTCTCTTCTCTTCTCTTCTCTTCTCTTCTCTTCTCTTCTCTTCTCTTCTCT